CATGGATAATTTTATTATTGGAGCGTTAATCATGTGCTAGTGCATCTCTCCATCTTTGAGTCAAGGATCCATGAGAGATTATTTAGGGAAAGTTTGATTTATCAATTAAGCGAATTTAGGTTCATTTTGTCATGTGCTTACTTGCATTTTCATGTGCATATTATGTGTGGAGCATAACATGTGATGTACCATTTTTAAGTATTATATGAAATTTTGTATTCTTGTCATATTTTCATGACATATTGTCCAATGTATGAAAACATATACTATTCACGATTTAATATCAAATAAATTAAAATATATATTTAGTGTGTGACTTCATGTTTGATGCATGAAAAATAATGTGCTCGTGACTTAATGCATGATGCATGAAAAATTGTGTTTTTACCTTGTGCTTATGATAATATCAATTGCATGGATAATTAATTTTCAGACATGTGACTTGATGTCAAACATGCTTGAATTTTTTCTTGCATGATGCTGATATTTTGAATTTATATTCATTCTAATCTTAAGCATGTATGAAAATATATTTGACTTGATACCTGCATTTTAAATTCATTCATGTAAAAAATCCTTTTTTGCAATTTTTTGTCCACTTGACATTGGCATATGTGAAAATCACTTTTTTTAAAATGTATTGGATTTAGCTTTTTACTAACAAAGTGTTGTCTCATTCCATACAACATTGTGGGATGTTTGCTTTGGCATGTTCACATTCACATCAAAAATTGTTTGTGGATATCATGTGAGTGAACATCTCGGTTGCTATTTGGGTGAAGTGTAATCTTCCATAAGGTGTCCTACACCCAAAACAACTTAGTTTAAAATCTATCTTTTTTCATCGTGCTTATGACTTGAAGTTAGGCATATACGAAATATTGTATCTTTTCAGAATGCTTGTTAGCTAGTTTTATACTAGCAAAGTATTGTGTTATTTCACACAACACTTCAACATATTTCAACATTGAAATTTGCATTTCCATTTCTCGTGTCTGCATGATATGAGTGTGACATCCATTTACGTTTGCATTTGCATGATCAACATCCTTATCATGTGCATATGTTATTATGTGTTCATGGAAACTTAGATTTCTTGGATGACGCAACACATGAGTTGCTGAAAAGGGATGTCTAATTAGGTTGGGTCAACTACTTTCACGACCAAACATACTTAAAGTTTTAATAGTTTGAGATGATGGATCCATGAAATCCTAACCCGACCATTTCTACCAGCTTAGGAATTTATTTCATGTTTCTTGATATACCTCCTTTGAGCCATTCATTCATGTTGACACATCATGGAAGTTATTTTGTAAGTTCATTTGCCAATATGACATTGCTTGTTTAGGATATGATGACTCACATTCTACCCTAATGGCCTGGTATGGCTTTGAAATACTAAAAAATCTCTATTTAGCACGATCATTTAGCATTTTGGTATACATATTCACTAGTTATCATAAAAATATAAGCATGACTCATTTTATCGAGAGTATTATTGGGTATCCCTTGAGATGTAACTAACTAAAGGGACACGTTCCTTTGGGAGTTTCTCTTGATGCCACAAAAAAAATATAAATTTTGGTTCTATGATTAATTATGTGGATTGCTGTTTTTCATTGATATGTGTTTCAAGCTGTCATGATCCGATTTCATTCTTGAACCTGCATTATTGACCTATCACACGAAGATAACTTTATATAAGCCCTTCACTTTTTTTTTTTTTTTTGTATAGTATCATCATATTTTCTCTCTTTTCAATCCCTCCTTTTCTCTGAATCATTTTAATGATCCAAGAAAAAAGGCTATTTAAAAAGGTGAATTATAATACGACACTCAGAGAAGCTGGTGACTGCGATTTTAAAGAACCAAAACAAATCTATTACATATCAGAGATTGATGGCATTAATTTAAGCAATTCCATTATAATGACACATAAGTAGGTTATACTTCAATTAATTAATGATTTAGTTTTAGCTCGAGTCGATAAATGACTCACAGTTAGAAATAAACCAACCAATGAATCATATTTTGATTGGCCCTACAATTTTAGGATTTTTATTATGATTGGTTAGAGTTGTACATAAGTAAAATAACTAGCAAGCTAGATTGGCACCCTTCAAAGAAATCAGTGCAACTTATCAATTTGATCAAATACAACTGTTCAATCCAAGACCAAAAACAAAAAAAAAATCCCATCAATATGTCATGAAAATTCCCATTACGTTGCCTCGACGAGAAGAATCCAACAAGCTCAATATCACTTAATTCTAAAGATCATTAAATCTCTCAAATAATTAACAAACTTCTATTATCAAAGAAGTTTAATATGAGTCCTCTGTTCTGGGAGTTGGAGGAAAGTTATTTGTCAAAACACCAAAATACCCCTAATGACTATAAATAGACCCCCTATTTTTACTTAAAAGAGAAATGGTAAGAAGGGGAATTCTAAGGCTCCTTTTGAAGTGAAGATCAGATTATAACTTTTTGCCTCCATAACTATCAACTTCTGTTGACCGTCGTCGCTTATCGTCATTGACCTCCATTTGTCAGAAGTTCTGCTTACAAATGTTACATCATAAATACAAGTAAAACATATAACACCCATACTGAGGACTCAGCGATAACTTCCAGCCAGCATAGTCATCGACGACCCCCGACCATCATCACTTATTGCGACTAATCACTAACTGCTAGCAACCGCTACACCATCATAACAAAACTATGATGATTATTCTTAACACATGTATTTTACTTTATATTGTACACCAACAGGTGTTATCACTTTTATAAAATAATCACCCCATTCTCCCACTTTGTGAGAAAAAAGTGTACCACTGTACTTGCACCATTTATAGAGAATTATTTTAATTTGGTCAGATCCCATGATTTTTTTTTCATTTCCTAGTTTTTTCACATAAAAAAATTATGATATTTTCTCTTTTATCTGTGTGAGTGTTGGATCTTCGTGCAACTTTAGATGTTAAATATCACTCTATCATTGAAAAATTTTAGCACACAAAATGCCTATATTAATTGAACTTCAACACTTTTTGTTGATTCATGACTTTAAAATTATTCTTGTGAAGTTTGAGATTTCATCGATTCTGATCACCCCAGCTCTGTTAGTCCCTCTGATCTCTAGCACACTTGTGCTCTTTCAATGCACTTTTATGTTCTTTCAAGATCTTAAACTATCATTATTTTCTCGAGCCATTGGCCCTTTAAAGTACAAACGAACTTAGTAAATGTCATAACATTATCCCAAATGATTGATTGCTAACTCCATATTCTCGTTGATTGTGGAGACAGTGTTAGCCCTAATTATTGCCCCTGACTTTTTTGCGCCTTTTCAAATTAAAAAAAATTAAGAAGAGTATTAAGATAGTAACAATATTATATAATATAGATTTTGAAAAAAAGGTATTGACCTGTCATCAATACATTTAATCAGTCGGCAAGAATCTCAATGTGTTTTTGAGCAAAATATAGTCCAAATTCAAATTAAAGATCATCAAAGATCCCGATTTTTTTTTAAAAAACTTTTGTCAAATTGATTGCCTCAACAAGACAAACTCGATGATAGCAAATTTGGCTTCATCCAAATCCAATCAAGCCATGCTTAAATCTTTAAAGCTCTTCTGAAGGTGTTATATTGTCAATTGAATGTCAAATGAATTTCAAATTTGATATATTTATATTCAAATCGAGCATCTTGATGAGAGGAATCTAACAGACCTAAGTTGTCTTAATTCTGAGGCTATTAAGACTCTCAAATCATTTTAAAAAACTTTATAATCATGATTAATTAATATTAGTCATCCGATCATGTGTTTCAACTAGTTATTCACCAAAAGACTAAGTTACCTTTACCCATACACTATAAATAGACATTCTCTCTTCACTTGAGAAAGGACCGGCGGGGACGGGGGAGGGGGGTGGGTGCTAGAAAAAAATTTAGAGCTTGTTACGGACTAAAGACCACGTGATAACTTTCGGCCTCCGTAGTCCACAACCATTGACTAATGCCACTGTCAACACCTTTGCACACTGCCACCGACAACACCAGTTTGGTTTGCTTCTGCTTGTTGCCATCGACAACCACTGGTTGATAAAGTTTTATATGAAATATGGTCGTAACATATACTGTCGTATTGATGGCTTGATTATAACTTTTGAGTTCTAACCTTCACTGCTTACGACTACTGTATTCAAAATAAAACAATTCTTCAGATTCCCAAAGTTTATCTATACATGTATGTCAACAAGTGTTGTATGTGATGTAAAGTTATAACCTTCCTCTCAGTGAAAAAATGAAGCATCTTTGCACTTATTTACTTATAGTGGATTACTTTGATTGAGTTTTATCCCATGTTTATTTCCCTTTCTGGGTTTTTTTCATGTAAAAATTATTGGTGTATTCTTTTGGTACATTTTTTTTTTATCATGTGACTATGTGTTAGATCTCCGCCAAACTCTAAGTAGTTCAATAAAACCGCTCTCAACGTCATGAAATTTCCGACACATCACAAGTATTAATACAAAAATCTAATGCATTTTAATTTCAAAGAAATAAAAAAATTTCCAAGTTTATTTTACATTCAATCAAATACGAGCAACTTAAATATATAGGATATTCTCATACATATTGGACTTCTTATGTATTTACATATCAAAATAGTTAAATATTCTTATTTACATGTAACTTAAAAATTAAATCTTTAACATCACATCAATAATACCACTATCATTATGTTTGTAAAGCAAAAATTAATTTTTTCTCTATAAATTTACGATACTAAATTATTATAAATGTAAATGTCTCACTTTAATTTAAATGTTAGATATGTAAATAGATAAAAAATTATGTTATGAATATATATTGCTTTATTTTCTACCGTATTAAATATCATTAGTCTAATTATTCATATCAGGACACCCCATAATCCTTTATTTTAATACCCCACCATATCTTAAGGATCACATGCAGATTTTCTTAATCAGTAATCGAACGGCCTACTTCCCCACTGTCGTCAATCCAAGCGCTACACGTACGCACCGCCGACCGGAGCCGCGGTACTACTCGCCCATACAACAGACAACTATGAACTCGTCACAACTCACAAGGCAGAAATCGTCGTCGTGTCACTTTCGCAACACTGCCATCAGCCAGCTGACCTGCATCGGCCATATCACTCTCAGCACCACCGCAAGCCCAAGCCGGCGATTTTTCCGGCAGTGCGTCATCACTGTCCTTGAATAGAAACAGCTGACGGCGGTCATCGGAGATGGAAGGCGAGAAGATGACGCGAATGGACCGTTGGGGTTATCCGTTACGAACGAGCTCCGACGCTTGCGTGGCTGCGATTGATGCTTACTATGGTGAAGTGCTGTGTTACGGCCGGAACCGCGCCGTCATCCTGGAGGCCCCTGCCAAAGATCCCGCCTGCTTGCTCGGCAATGCCCTCGCGGCTCACTTTCTTAGTTCCAAGGATCCATCCAAGGCTTCATCCCTACTCGCTTCAGCCACCGCCGCCCTTGTAAATTTAACTTTCTTTCTCTCTCTATCTGGCAGCCTCTCAATGTTTTGTGTGTGTAATTCTCCCTTTTCTTTCGGGTCAGGAGAATGCTACTTCCTACGAGAAGGCTGTTTATGAATCAATCATTCCGTTGGTTGGAGATAGGAGGGACGAGGAGGCGGCGTTGCGTCGGCACGTTGAGGTCTGGATATGATTTAGCTCTTTTTTATGCCGTTTCATGTGCTTTTACGTTTTATTGGTAATGGGCATTTTCACAACGTACATGTTGGATAATTGGAGAATCTTGGGTTTTTTTTTTGTGGCCTAAGTAGTTAGCATTAGGATTTTTTGACTGGATTTATGTAGAATTTCAATAGATAGAGAAATTTTGAATTGTGATACTTTTGTTGTGCTAGCGTATTTGGATGATTTGTTAAGACTTGCGCTGAGTTTTGTTTATCTGAGACTATTTTGCAACTAATATATTTAGTTGAGGTTGTATGTCTGTGTTATTAATAGTGGCTTTCTAAGCTTTTGAAGAAGTACATTGAACTTGTGGGTTGCAGGACTTATTTAAGCTTTTATAAATTTTTTATTGAATTTTTGGCATATGAGTGAAATTAGAAATTTAAAATGACTGGTTAATATAAAAGTGGACTATACTTTAAGAGAATGACATTGAGAATTAAATATGAAATTTACAAAATTGTAATTGGACACATTGCAATATTGGTATTTGTTGAACTATAAAGAATTTGATACTAGATAATAAAAATAGGAATAATTTAGAGAGATTATAATGTTCGTGAAAATGTAGGAAGCTTATTGAAGTCATGGCAGCGGAAATAGAATTAATTGTTTAGATATGTGCAATAAAGTGGTAAAGTTATCATATACCGATAAGGCAGGCATATATAATGTAAAAGATTAGGAAAGAGAAGGGTCTGACTAAATGTAATATGGCAAGAAGTTGATGGAATCTGCATGTTTAATAATTTTGTAGTCTGAAACATGCCTATGATCATCACCTTGAGAGAGGGCTGTGTTTTCATTTCCTGACATCAGGCTCTAGATGTGGTTTGACACAGGTTCATGTTGGTTTTGTTCATAATTAGTCTCAAGATTAAGTACTATGGTTACAATTTGGGTGTTGTATTGTTATGAAGGATATAGAGGCTATTCTTCATGGCCTAATATTATTGGCAACTTGTTGTTAAACTTCCCTTTGCAGTATCATTATCAAGGATTCAAGTAATCTTTATTTCGACTTAATTAAATTATTTCAGTGCAAGTTTATGAGGCTATTTGCTAATAATTTTAATATTGGGTGCTCTTATTTTCTACCTTTTTTAAATTGATTTATTCATTGGATTAGTTATTATTTTATCCCACATATGACATTATTCTAAAAGCCTATATAGGGCTATTTGTTCGTTATATACTGACTTATTATATTTTTTTTGCAGTTTGTAAAAGAATTTCCTAATGATTTGGCCTCTCTAAAGAGAGCTCAGATTTTATGTTTCTACATGGGCCGGCCACATCTTTCTCTAAGTCTCGTGGAACAGGTTTGGTTGATTTTCTATTAGTTTTTTAAATTGATCTTGTTATGTGGTCCATAGCCAGATATATAAAATTTCTTGCTTATTGCTTTCAACTTGCAATGTGTGATAATTGGCATTATTGATAAATTTGAGCCCCCTTATTGTTATCTTCTTAAGGATTTTTTTATTATCTTCTGCTAATATCCTGAGCTTGCGTATTTTTGATTTTAAACTATCTGTTAAAGTTCAGGCACTTCCACATAATCAAGACAAGAGTTTCATTTATGGTATGCTAGCTTTTCCTTTACTGGAGCTTGGAAGGATGGCTGAAGCTAAGTCTGCTGCAAGGAGAGGATGGGAGATCAACAAATTTGACATCTGGTCACAGCATTGTGTAAGTGGCTCCATATAATTCCGGAAACGTAAGCTTTTGTTTAAAGTTTTTTTTTCAAATTTCCCTGTTTCATTTTTACCCCGGAAGATCCTGACCATATCCAATAGAGATTATTTTGAGCTGTTAAGAATCCAAAAACCTTCAAAGATGAGAAAACAAAGAAAGATAACAGAAAGTTATCTCTTTTCTTACCCTATGGTTTGGAATTTGCCTCCATGCATAAGAGAAATTGTTAGGAGTGTTTGCATGCACGGAACTCTAGGAAATCGTACTATTGAAACATTTTGGAGTCGTTTGTCCATGCATTTTTGGGCTGTTTACATACATAGCCCCCGAAACATTGCTATTTACAAATCTAGCGCTCTCTTTTATCTATTTTTCAAATTCACACAAATATCAAGATTCAGGATAAAACTACAACCAATATTTTAATTTTTATCTTCTCAGTGGTTTGGTCGTGGTACACGTAAATACATCTGTTCGGTAGTTAAAAAATATCGTCTGATTAGGATTTAATTAAGATCATTTAGATTTCTAATGTTATATGGTGATAATTATGCATTAGATAATTTGTTAAGTAACTGGTACCTCTAATAGAATTCTCCATAGAAATGAGGGAAAAACAAATATTTTTTTTTCAAAGCAAAGAATTCATTAACAAACATATAAATTAAAGGATAAAAACTTACAATTCGAGAGGTAGATGTTAAAGATGGAGACCGATTTTCGCCCTCTCCCGCCTCTCGCCTCCCGCCTCCTCTAATTCGCGAATTTCCGCTTCCTGCTCCCGCTCCGCTCCGGATCGCGATCCCGTCTCCGCCTCCCGTCTCCCGCGCACGCAAACAATCGCGTCTCCTCTGTTTCGCATGCGAAGCTTCGCGTCCCTTCGCCAGAAACCGCTCCCGCCTCCTCTATTTCGCGAAGCGAAGCATCCCTTCGTTTCCTTTCCTGCTTGTGATAAAAGAGAGACTCTCCTTTAGATCTTCAAGAGGTGAAGTCATGGTGAAGGGTGATCGGGCTGAAGAGGAAGAAGGCATCGCTCTCCAAGGGCTTCTTATTCGGCCAGAAGAAAAAGGTGGTTCTTAAGGCTTCACGTTTCTTGTGGTAAATTTGGCTTAAGTGTGAAGAAAGAAAAAGGACAACAGGCTTGCTTTCTTTGAAAATTTCTTCTTCCTTTTTTGGTGTGTATTACTTTGGAGAAAGGAGAGAGGAGACAGAGATTTCTCTTGTAATTGTTGAAGAGATCGACCGGTGTAAATTTCTCAAATAGTAAAATACTCTGTAACTCCGTGGATGTACTCAATTTGCCGAACCACGTAAATCTGTGTGTTCTTTTGGTGTGAATTTTCTCGTGTTATTTTATTCGCTTCGTCGTCGATCGTTTTAAATTATAAATTTCATACACAACACAACAGTAGGCGATATCTCCTAAATCCTACAATTTGAGAGGTAGAAAATCTCTTCCAAAACCTAATCCCAAGACTCAAGACCCAATTTCATGCATAACCCTAACACTAAACTATTAAGCCCTATTTATACCAAACAATAATAATTAATAAAAATGCTAAATTGCTCTTAGGTTTGGCAATGTTGTGATAAAACACTCCTCCCAAAAAAGACACATTGTTCTCAAGGTAGGAAAAACTGTTGTTGGATCAAGTCATATATTTCTCACTGTTCGCCATCATTTGACAATCCTTTCCATTTAATCAGAAATTCATAGTGACCCTCATGAATATGAAATGTCGTCTCGTGTGCATCTTTCGCCGCATCCAAATGTGATGATATACTGACTTCCAATCAATTTTAGAGAATATCTCCATCCCAAACATCCCATCCCGTAACTCATCGATTTCTAGAATCTCTGTCAACTCCGTACCACGTGTTTCTTCTATCTCTATCAACTTTGATCTTGCTTGCTTCCTTTTGTTCAAACCATTTGAATGTTGTACTATTTTTCCAAGTACTGTTGCTCGAGTCCACTATTGATTTCTTCGCTTGATAACAGCGCTCTCGATCCGCCTGCTCCCCTTCTCTCTCGCTCGCACTGTTAATCTCAGTCTTCCCTCTTTCTTCTCTCCTCTTCCCTTTCTGTAGCTCTTTCTTATGCTCACTTTCTCTTTCTTGGTCGCTTTTGGTCTTTTTCTGTTGCTTGCATGCTTACTCAGTCCTTGGCTCTCATTCTCTTTATCTCTATCTCTTGCTCTATTCTGTCTATCTCTATGTTGCACTCTCTTTTCCTCCATTTTAATAGAGTTGGGTAGTTCAGGCTCTTTTGATCCTACAGTAGACTGTTCACTTTTATTTATGGGGCCTTACTATTTTAGTTTATTTATGATTATCAATGATTTGTATCATAAAAATATTATTTAAAATTAAGTCTGATCAACTAAATATATGTAATTCATTAAAATAGTAAATGAATAACAAGTCATTCATTAGTGATCGTGATGGCGACTTTATGTAATTAAGACTTAATTATAACGATTATTATTTGCATAAATTAATTAAAAATTAAATTGAATTAAATATGAAATATATATATATATATATATATATATATATATATATAAAGAGAGAGAGAGAGAGAGAGAGAGATTATGATTATTATGTTTTCTATTTCTACTTATGCAAAAATATTTTCATTTTAACAATATGTAAACAAAACAAACATGTTTTCATTTTAAGTGAAAAACAAAAGCTAAAAGAAAAAAAGGTAAAAAACATGTTTAACAATACGTAAACAAAACAAGCATGGCCAACTTTTATTATTTGGTTCTCTCTGGTGTCACGCATATCAAGCAACATTCTTAATGCAATTCACATTCAGATGTTAGGAAGGTGACTTTACACCAATGAAGTTTGAATAGGTAATGGACAATCTCTAATCTCATCTTCGGATACTTGTTTTCCTAAAACAGCTATTCAACAAAAAGAAATCTAATTAGGATAAAGAACCATTTGTATTCTTGATGAATCTCTTTCCAGTTATCTTACCGAATCTGATATATTTTAGAAGTAAATTTTTGTTCTGTACTTTTACAGCTATGCCATGTCTTACAGCATGATTGCCACTTCAACGAAGCAGTGAATTTCATGGAATCTTGTTCTTCCACATGGGGTTCTTGTTCATCTTTTATGTATGCAGTTTTCCTGCTTCTTATAGGCAATTTTTTCTCTAGGAGGCTTTCAGTTTCCATGCAAATCCTCTTACCAGGTACTCTCATAACTGGTGGCATGTCGCTGTTTGTTATTTGGAAGGTAATGCTCCCTTCGGCAAAGTTTTAGAAGTGTATGATCAACAAATCTGGAAAGAGCTGCAAAAAAGTGATTCAGATCAAGCAGATGTGTGATTTCAATCCGCTTCTTCTTCTTCTTCTTCTTCTTGTTAAAATTCCTTTCCCATTTCTTAATTTTTTGACTTGTGATATTACTAATTATCTTTTGCTTCTAGGTGTTCCTAAATGCTTTAGGCTTACTGCTACTGTTCGATGTTCGATGCCAGCTAGATGCTGTTGAAGATAGACTATTATTAGCAGCTAAAATACTAAAGGACAAGGTATTTAATTTTTTAGAATCTCATTTCTATGCCAAGGGAGTTCACGATTTAAATGCTTTAATGTTGTGGACTCTTCAAGAGATCAGAGATGATTTAATAACTTTTGAGATTAATTTGGCCTCTTGACCTCTTTAGGTTTGGTCACAGTTGATGATATGTTTGGCAATTTCATAATTTTTTACCCAGCAGCGACAACAAATTTTACCTGTTTGCTGTTTCACCTGATGCATATTTGGAGGCATGCTCCTCTTTTGTTAGACAGAGATTGTCTTCATTACATTATTCTACTTCAATTTTAAGAAACAACCGCACATCTATACATTTGTACAATACAACAACAACAACAAGCCTTTATCTCACTAAGTGGGGTCGTCCACATGAATTTTTTTCCTCCATTTTATCTTATCGAGTGCCTTTTTTTCATTTAATTCTATTAAATTAAGATCATTTTTTCATACAACAAGCCCGTCTTTTTAGGTCTACCTCTACCATTCTTAATATAAGTTGAATCTAAAACATCTACTCTCTCAATCAGATCATCAGATGGTCTGCGTTTAATGTGATCAAATCATCTAAGTCAACTCTATCTAATCTTGCCTGCCATTGGAGCTACACTAACCCTGTCATGGATTCATTCCTTTTGCATTTTGTCTCCAAGTGTCAAGCCTCTCATCCATCTAAGCTTCTCATCTTGGAAACACTTAACTTAGTTTTATGCTTCTCTTTTAAAGGTTAACATTATGCGCCATAAAACAGTGCAAGTCTCACCACCATCTTATAAATTTTTCCTTTGTTTAAGAGGTATTTTCTATCTCACAATAGGACCAACACATTCATTCACTTCAGCCATCCAACTTGAATTTTACTATTAACATCCCCATCTATATCACCATCACTTTAAACAATAGATCCGATATATCTAAAACGTTCACATCTTTTAATAATTTGATCACCATGTTACAACTCTACGACTAGATCTACTACTACTAAAATTACATTCCATGTATTCAATTTTAGATCTACTCAAAGGAAGGCCTTTAAATTCTAATGCAAACCTCCATAATTCAAGTTTTTTTTCTGAACTCTTTCTCTATTCTTATACACAAATCAGCGAAAAGCATAAACCAAGGTACATCTTCATGTAAATATTTGGTAAGAGCATCCATCACTAAAGCAAAAAGATGTGGGCATAAAGCCAATCTCTGATGTAATCCAACTGAAATAGGAAAATACTCGGTCAATCTTCTTGTTTGAACACAAATTTAATGACTTGAAGCCATATCAACACCTTTCTTTTCTTAAACTCTCCAAAGAACTTCTCTTGGAATCTTATCGCTTGTTTTTTATAAATCAATAAAAATCATATGTAGATCCTCCTTACTTTCTCTGCACTTCTGGAATAAACCTCTCAATAATGTATAGCTTCCATAATATACTTGCCCAACGTAAATCCAAATTGATTATGAGAAATATTTGTATCGTGTCTTAACTTATGTTCAATTACTCCCTTTCATAATTTTAATGTACAGACACACTGTCTCAATTCTTTTATAACATAAGCATTCTTGTGCATCCCTTCTGTTCTTAAAAACGAGGACTAAATTACTCTTCTTCCACTCCTCATGCATCTTTTTAGTTTTTAAATAATATTAAAAAGTTTAGTAAGCCAAGAAACTCCTAATTCTTCTAAATATTTCTGCACTTCCATTGAGATGCCATCATGTCCTATTCATTTTTCACCCTTTGTTTTCTTTAAAGCTTCCTCAACTTTCTTTTTACTATTGTGACGATAAAAATAAAAAAAAAGTTTTATTATTATTAACAAGATTAAGATCACTGAGGTCGATTGTATTTTCAAAGACTTCAATGAAAAGGTTATCAAAATTTCACACCCACCTATGTTGAATATTTTTTTTAAGAAAAATAATTTTTGATTTTCTTTTTTAATATGCTTAATTTGAATTAAATTTTTACTTCTTTTCTCTTTATTTTGCTAGTTTATACATATATCTTTCACCTTCTTTAGTTTCCAATGTATTATAAGAATTACTAAAATCATAATTCTTAACATCACAAATTGTTCTCTTAGACTTCATAAAAGTCACATTATATTTTGTTCAACTCTCTAATCTTTTACATTTAAACCACTTTTTATAAGAAAATTTTTCATACTTTATCTTTTCTTATTATTATTCCACCACCAACTAATTTAGTTATAAAAATTTTTCCTTTTTGATTCTCCAGATACATCTTTTGTCACTTTTTTAATAATGTTTGTTACGTTATCCCACATAGAATTAGCTTATTCATGAAAATCTCAAATCTTGAAGTTTACTTATAAAAATAATTTTATTTTTTAGTTGCCTTCATCTAATTCTATGACAACATTTTATTATATTTTTATCTTCTAACTCATCTTAAAATTCATAAATAATAATCGATGTTGAGTTGTTAAATTTGATGTTGAAATGACCGTACAAACTTTACATTCTCAACGATCTTTTTTTCTTATAAAAAATAATCAAATTTTCACAATGTTATAGTCTTTTTAGTGATTGATAGAACTATATATATATATATATATATTAGTTCTACTTATTTGGAAGAGCAAAAGGAACAAAATTTTCAACTATATTATGGTTCATTAAAAAATAAAAAAAAGTTTGGCCAGCTTCAATCGTGTTTGGCGGTAAGGTGGCGCCTATGCGCTTGGATTTCTATTTGGTGCTATTTAACCGGGCGTCAGACTGATGCCTGCCTTAGGTTGGCACTTGGATGTGGCATCTGGATGTTGAGCTAGTGCTGGGGGCTGGTTCTCATTTGGAGTTTGCTGCTGTGTGCTCGAGCGCTCTGATTCTTGGACTAGTCAATGAGGCGCCAGCCAGCCTCTGAGACGTCATTATAATCCATAGTACGTTTATTTCAAAACCAAATTCTTTGCTCAACTCGATCAAAATGATTTAGCATGTCTTTTCCCACTTTTTGGCATTTTTCTGGTTCACCTTTCAAATTTAAATCATTAATGTAATAAAAATGATTGAAAAATGTGTAAATTGTCATTAATTATTAGATCTAATGCGGGCTAAATGTGCATATAATTCACGGTTATAAAGGTTTAATATCAGGATACATTTTTAATTATGAATAATATGAGTTTCTTTATATTTGGCAGCTAATTATGTCAGGGAATTGCATCAAATTGTTGTAAAAACTGTGTTCCTATATGGGAACCTTTAATAATAGATTTATATGGAAATCCCACTTGAATTTGGAAGAAATTTTTCTGCTGATCAGTTATATAAGCTGTAAAAGCATTTATGGGTTGAACCGGTCTCTAAATTCATATTTTTGAATGTTTGCTAAGGTGATGTTAGCCCTGGGATACAAGTAAAGTCAGCAAAATTATATTTTATTCATCAAGCACCCAAACTCCAACAAAACCATGGTCCTTTTGGTGTATATTGATGATATAATTTTAACTAGACATGATGCAGATGAGAGATAATTTATAAGTAATGTTTGGCCAAAGAAATTGAGATTAAAGTCCTGGGAAGTTGATACGAACCAAGATGATTTTCGGCATAAATTATGGTAAAATAAAATATTTTGTTTCAATAACTCCAAACAACACAAGCTAAGCAACTAAAATTCTAGAGGTAGGTGAATTCTCCTAACACCTACAATTTGAGAGGTAGGTGATCCCTCCCAAATCCTAAACGCAAAACTCAAGATCACAATCTCATTCATAGTCCCAACCTTAAGTATAATAAAATCTATTTATACCTCACAATAATAACTAATGAAATACTAAATTGCCCTAAAGTTCAGGTGTAACATTACTCCCCTCCTAGAAAGACATATTGTTCTCATGGTGGGAAAAAATAAAACTATTGTTGGATCAAGTTGTACGACTTCCCCTCATCAACTGGCTTGAGTCTTGATTGAAATCCATGTTGCATCGTTGATATTGCATGAGGACTATGCCTAATCAATTGCTTGAAGCATCCATCTTTACAATGAAAAGCTGGCCGAAATCCGGTAACATGCGCATTGGTTCACTCATCACGACCTTCTTCAACTTCTTAAAAGCACGGGTCACCGCTTTCTCCCAATGAATATTATCCTTCTTCAGTTTCTCCGTTAGCAATCACACAATCAAATTACAACCATTTACAATCTTTCGGTAGTATCCTAGAAGTCCCAAAAATCCTCCTCCTTTCGATGTCTTTTAGGTAGTGACCACTCCAATATAACTGTCACCTTCGATGGATCCACCTATACCAAGGTTTTGCACATACTAGGGTCATAGTGAAGCACTCCCATCTTTTCTCCCTCCTGAATATTCTGCAGTGTAATAATTAGTCCCTTACAAACTCCGCTATCCTTCTCCACTTGTTATATTCCTATCATTACTTTTGAATCGTCTTCCGTCCGGAAGGATACCACAACAAAAGACACCGACGTGGTTGGATTCATCCCTCCGTCGGTGTCCCACCCACAGTATTTTTCTGTTACATTTTAAAATCTTTCAAATTGATCTTCTCCAGCCTCGAATTGCACGTCGTCTCGTTCTGCCTGCTGCCGCTCGTTCCAAACCTTCAGAGGTCATGAATTTCCCTCTAGATGCCACCACCGAATCCGCTCTCTACTCCTCTCGATTCTGGCTGCTTCCGCTTGTTCCATCCTTTTGAATGTTGCACTATTTCTTCCAAGTGTTGATGCTTGCATCCGTACCTAACGCTATCTCTCGATCCAACGATAGACGATTTTTTGTGAAATTTCACAATTTTCTTTATCATTTCTTTTAGGATTGTGAATCTCTCTTCCATCCTCCCTGCCATAGATGAGAGCCGTCCCTTCATGGACTAGAAACGCTTCTCCATTTTCATTCTGATTTAGCTCACTTCTACCTCTAATTTCTCTTACATAGCCTCTATATTTTTGGTTGCCATAACTCTCAATAAAATTTTCGATCAATAAGGCATAATTCTGTACTTCATAATCCCATCATTGGTTTCCTTGCTATTTGTGCAACGAGGTTACGGCACGCCACGCTTCATAGAGAATTGAATCGGCACACATCACTTCTATCTTTGGCTTTCAAGTACTTTCCACGATCTTACCTTAGCTTCTAATGCTCAATCGCGACTATGCCACAACTATATTCACACCGTGATTCCAACATTGCTTCACTGTACTCGCCATAATCCCGATTTTGCTTTCCGGCTAGCTCATCGTGAATTTATTGCATCATAAAGGCACTCAAGGTTATATCACGTCATGAAGGCACCCACGTTGCTTCCCAACTAGCTTGATTGCAACCGTATCACGTCACGAAGGAGTCACCTCTATGTCGTGATCCCATTGGCTGCTTCCCAGCTTGAAACATGAATGTTTCACATGATTTCCTGTATGTCGAGATCCCTTCTTTGCTTCCCAGTCTAATGGAGCAACTGTATTGCCCTGTACACCGTGATCCCTTCTTTGGCCTCACAATTTCCTTAGATCACAACTGCTCTGCAGCTAGGCAGACGCCGAACCCGAAGTATTGATGATTTCAATAAAGATATGAATGTGTAGCAACAGCCGGATGCTGTAATACCAATTTGATAGGAATCAAGATGATTTTCCTCATAAATTAGGGCAAAATAAAATATTTTCTTTCAATGAATCCAAACAACAGTCTCAAATGCATAAAAGATAAACACCTACATTTCGAGAGGTAGACAAAGTCTCCTAACACCTACAAGTCGAGATGTAGCTGATCTCTCCAAACCCTAAACCTAAGATTGAAGACCACAATCTCATGCATAACCATAACCCTAAGCATTGTAAGTCCTATTTATACCTCATAGTAATAACTAATAAAAGACTAAATTTCTCTAGGCACCGGCGTAAAAAAAGATTGAAGTACCTCCTAGGAATTAAAGTCAAACGCTCCATGCAAGGTATCCCTATTACTTAACAGATGCATGTCACCAAGCTTTTGAATGAGAATATTGGCATGTAAATCAATCAATAAGGATATAGAGATCCCAATCATAAACTCGGAGAAGTTGAGGACTGTGTAGTGGATCTATCAACGCATGGTGGAAAGGCACATTCACCTCTCCAATGCGAGGCTGAATATAGCTTATGAAGTTAGTATATTAACCATTTTATACAGAATCCAAAGAAAAGCACATGAAGACCATAAACTAGGTATTAAAATACTTAAAAGGATCCAAGGAATGAAATTTTGTTCAACATGTTTAGTTATTTAAGCATATACAAATGCTGATTATGCTCCACCTATTGTAGATACAAAATCATTATCTAGATATTGCAGCTTTATCGGAGGTATTCTTATCACATGTAAGAGCAAAAAGCAAAATGTAGTAGCCTGTCTTGTACAGAAGCATTATTTAGAGCCATGACTCTAGGGATGTGTAAAGTACCGTAGTTGAAAATCCTCCTTAAGGATCTGAAGATTGATTGCGGTGAACCTATGAGATTATATTGTGACAAGAAATCAACAAGAAATATTATATATAATCTCGTGCAACATGGTTTGACAAAGCTTATGGAGATAAACAAATATTTTGTAAGAGAAAACACGGACGGATGCATTTATGAAGGAACTTATTAATACATGTTTTGAGGAATTTGTTGCCAAGCTGGGAATATAATATATTTTTTGACTAGTTTGACAGAGGTTATGGGCTGCTTTCCTAACGTAATAGTCTTCATTTACTGGATACGTTTTTGTAGTAGGAAACGTGTGATCCTAACTATTTCAGGATCATTATTGAAGCGATTTAATTTTGAAAAATAATTTACCTGAATAAGTTTGCTGTTTTTCTCCATGCACAATATGCATATATGGTCGAATTAATGAGTTATAATTATTATTCTGAATTCAATACATTCTCTAATATTCCTCACAGTATATACTGTAAGATTTTTCTTTCTAACAAATCTATATTTATACATTTAAAATTAATTGTAGAGCTTCACTTACTGTATTTTAAATTTTTACTCGTTTTCTTACTTAATTTTCCTTTATATGTTGCCATTTTTGAAGTCTCTGTGGCATGTAGAATGGTTGCTTGACATACTATCTCTGTGGGCTTTAGCTCGTGCAAAAGAATCACTTAAAGCTGAAGAACTACTAAGCTCCATCAAATCAAGGTGATAAAATGGAAGACGATGCTGTTCAATTCACAGTGGCTGAGTTTTATGACATTTTGCTGAATATATTCATGATTGTTGCAGGAATTTAATTTTGAACAAGAAAAAGCAACAAGAAATGCAGAGAGCAACACTGGTTAGCCATTTGCCTGTCTTATACAGGGAGTTATGTTGTATGCTGTTTGAGTACATATTTAACCTAGTAATTTCAAGACATATTATTAGAGCAATTTGGAAAATGGAGAATCTTTATTATTATTATTATTTTTTTTTTGAGTAAAGTGTCAAAATAGTCCACTGACTATTTACTTGGGTTTTTATAAAAGTATTAAATTAGGCCCAAGTCTCTTTTTAATTGAGGTTAAAAATGGTCCTCTTTTGGAACTATTTCAGCCCCCTATGCATAGAGTATGTGAATTAATTTGACATTTTAATAAACTCTGAGACTAAGATAACCCTCTACAAATTGTCAAGGGATCATTTTAACACTTTTCACTTTTTTTTTTTTTTTCACATTTAGATTTTCTTTTTGCAAAGCTGTACTGTAACCTTTTTGTTATGGTTCCGTCTGATTTGTCATTATTAGCCCCGTACATGCTAAATATTTCATAATTTTTTTGGATGATTAAATATTATGATATATCTCTCTGTATATGTGGATAGTTTGGTTTTGGTCTTTAAAAGTTGTGTTTGATCATTCGCCAACCATTTAGAATAGCTAAAAATTAACTACCAACCAATAAATGTAGGAAAGGTTGGGTTTTGTTGGCTGAAGCAACATTATTTCATTGGGACATTTTTAGATTGGCGTCTTTTGCCTCGTGCTTCACATAGCCGAGTGGTTCCATTGAACTCACACCGAGCCCTACAAATAATTTGAAGTCCCATATTAGGTGCAAGACTAAAAGGGCAATTTTGTTATTTGCTATTTATTATTGTTTGGTATAAATAGAGCTTATTATGATTAGAGTTAAGGTATGTGATTGTTGTCTACCTCTCAAATCTTAGGAGTTAGGGTTTGAGAGAGAATTGCCTACCTCTCAAATTGCAGGTCTATCTTTTATAGTTTTGGGATTATGTAATTTTGTGCCAGTGGAATAAAATATTTTATTTTGCCTTAATATCTATGAAAATTTGTTTTGTTTCTATCAAATTGGTATCAGAGCTGTACCTGGGAGTAATGGCGACTAAGAAGGTCGTTGCTCTAGAGGAAAGATTTGAAGTAGAGATGAGCCAACTCAAATCAGGAATGGAGGAGCGTTTCTAGTCCATGTAGGGATGGTTCTTGTTCATGGATGGGCAGTTCTTGTTCATAAAGGGGCGACTCAATACCCTTTAAAAAAATAACAAAGAGGCTTGTGGAGTTCCATTCTAACCCTCTGACGTCTGCGACGGTGTTAACGACGGGAGGAATCGCTAGCGTCGAAAGGGTGCGATTTCGGCCCAGAAGACAACTCTCACCCAAACAATCCACGCACGAAAGGTTACACAGAGGGCAATGATGCTGCCTTCGGCGGATTTGGGGTCACGGGATGGAGCTAGGACATGTGGATTGGACTTGAGTGTCATCGGATGAACATGATTGAGTGACATGCGTGTTAGAGCGATCAACATTAGGAAGAATGTGATGACGGCCTGAGATTCAGAGCTGAAGAAATCGATATGAAGGATTTCAGTCTGGAACAGGGAACCATAATGGAGGGGACCCCGAGTGAGGGATGCATGCAACCACAACAATGATAGCCTTCCGAGCAAAAACCGATTCAAAAGTTTATTGGGAAGGACGAGTTGATTATGGGGCGAGCCAATAATATGGAAGAAAGAAAATCTATATGGGTCGTGGAAAGGAATCCAACCATCGCTTCAGTGGTGGAGCAAGCTTTAGTCGAGGAAATTGGGGATGAGATTCACACATAAGAAAAATGAAAATGTTGATCTTTGAAGTAGATGATGCTTATGGGTGGGTTTGTCGTATGGAGAGATACTTTGGTGTTAATGGGATAACGAAAGAAGAAAAATTTATGGGGGTGGCCTTGTGTTTTGAAGAGAAGGCTCTAGCCTCGTATCAAAATAGAGAACAACATCAACCAATTAAAACATGAGAAGAATTCTAGGATTAATTGTAGGAGCATTTCAAAACAACGTAAGAAGGGGATTTACATGAGTAGCTTTTTGCATTGAGCCAAGCAACGTCCGTCATGATTTATAGAGATTCATTCGAGATGTTTTTCAATCATTTGAGAAGGATTTCAGAAGCCATATTGGAAAGAAACTTCTTGAAGGGGTTGAAACTAGAAATCAAGCATTGCTTCGTTTGTTGAGATCATGAGGATCAGGGAAAACTATGGGATTAACACAGTTGGTTGAAGATACAAAAAACTTAAACTTTGGGATTTCTAAGGGAGGCTTCACAGGACATGAATAATCGCCCATGACCGGAGTTTCAATCAAATGACTTATAAATATAGAGATTGAAGAGAAGCTAGACACTGGATTATGTTTTTGGTGTTATGAGAACTTTGCCCCAGGTCATCATTGCTAGTATCATACCTTGTAGGTTTTCACAGTATGTGATGAGGAGACAGAGGATAAAGAAACAAAGGAGGTTGTGGTGGTGGAGGAAGAATGCCCTTACTTGATGTTGTAGAATTCTCATTGAACTGGATGGTGGGGTTCACACCGAACCATGATCCCGAGAAAATATAGTTGTGTAAAATTTATAAAGTTGACTCCGCTTTGCAACAGTGCCAAAATCTTGATGTGATATTTTATGAATAATAACGTTAAACACTTAAAATTAGGATTCTACGCAAATATACGTATCGTTGTCAAGTAATATAAGACTTTCTTTTTAAGTTCCAAATATTGATCCCACGGAGAATGTTTAAATTTGAAATGATAAATTAACTAGGAAATTAACAGAAATTAATCGAAATTACTGTCACTAATTTTGAATGTTTAAGATACTATCAAAACTAAACTGTTTACTACTAACAGAATTTAAATGCAGAGTTTAAAATTAATAACTATTAAACTATGTTTATGTGATAAAGTTTTCTAATATGAAAAAACATCTTTCCCACTACAATGAGTTTTTGGTGAAATGAGATGAGATAAATGGTTTAAATATGTATTGTGCCAAATAGGAGCAATTTTAATTATCTACCCTGATTCAGTGTTATAGAAAATCATTGACTAATCTTAGGTTTAGTTCTTAAATCCGTGGCTAGACTAGGTGGATACTGACTCCCACTCCAGAACTCTCACTTCCATTCCCTTCCCTTGAAGGCTAACTCTCGCTTTAGTTTTTAAACACTAAGATTAAATTGAGTATTTTTAGTCTGTCATCCTAGAAATCTCCAATTCTATACTCAACAAAGTATATTTCTCTATTTATTTGCACTTAATCCTATGAACGAAATACTCCTTCATGGATATAAATGTGATTCTCACTCTGTTGTAAAACTCATACTCCATTTCCCGGATCATATGTTTCACAACATATTTTAATAATTCAATTGGCCAGATCTAAAAGTAAATTACGAGCGGAGTTGAAAAACCATCACAATCTATTTTAAATTTTAACATTGACACATTCACATTATCTCTTCATTTCACCATACTCAGAGTAGGGAGAAAGATAAAGGAATCTACTCAGATCTCATGAGAATAATACAACAAAACACAAATTTCATATATAAAAGAATGTTCATACAACAATATTAAACAAATAACACTTATCGGAAACTCTTTCTCAAAACAAATTCTTTGTAGTCTCTCTTAGGAAATGTAGGAAGAAGAAATCTCTCATTTCTCTTCCTCTCCAATACTTCTTAGAGAAGAATTCACACTTAAACTCACCAAAAAAACTTAAATCTATAAAAATAATAACTAACTAATGGTGTGGAGTGGTGTGGAATGTAGATGTGTGCAAAAGAAAATTGAAAATGAGTGGAAGAAGTTGAAATGATGCGAAGGAAGGGGGGTTTTCTGATCAAATTTCTGCTCTAAATAGAGCCTAGGTTGGTTCTTCAATTGGTGCTTCCAAAAGCTCTTCAAAAAGGGTTTAAATTCGTCGAATCTTCTTGAAACAGAGCTTCCACCGACACTGGCGCCGTCGGCGCCAGAGACCCATAATTAAATCCCAAGTTTCTGTCAAATGGCGCCGTCGGCGCCCAGTCTGGCGCCGTCGACGCTGAACAAATTTTGGACTGGGCGTCCACGGCGCTGAACAAATTTTGAACTTCTCCATTTTTGCTCCAAATTCAATCATTTTTGCTTCATTTTTGCTTCATTTTTGCTCCAAGTCCTCAAAATCAACAACCTGCAATAAAACATAGAAAATATCTTCCATTAAAGTGCAATATCACAAAAAACGAGTATAAAATATGAGTCTGAAAATGCATATATTTTTGGTTTAAAAATATATATATTTTTTGTGTATCAATTCACACTGAAATTTTGGGGGCAAGTCAAAGAGCATGACATAGTGGTGTTGGTAGATAGTGAGGCCACCCACAACCTCAATTCCACTCAAGTAGTGGAGCAATTGGGGATTGAGATGATTGACTCGTGAAGTTTTGGAGTAATGATGGGGATGATACAAGTGGAGAAAGCAGAGGAGTTTGAAAAATAACTGATTTTGATACTGCAGAGTATTCATGTGGTGGAGAATTTTCTTCCCTTAGGTTTAGGGAGCGCCGATGTGATATTGGGTGAAATGATTGCAGTCCTTAGGGGAGACTAGGATGAATTAGGAACTCCTAACAATGGAGTTTCAGGTGGGAGACAAGACAATAGTGCTTCACGTTGATCCTAGTTTGTGCAAAACTTTGTTGACGCTCAATACCATGGTTACAGCACTTGAGGACACAAGGTTAGAATTCTTGGTCGAATTGCATAGTATGAAGCAAACACGTGATACGGTGTTAGCGGGTATTTCTACATCAGTCCAACAACTCCTACAATAGTTTGCATAAGTTTTTCAGTTGCCTTGCTGATTGCCCCTTGGGTGGGAACACAATCATTCGTTAATCTTGATGTAGGGGGTTTCTCCCATTAGTGGTACGCCCATTTGGCTATCTTCAAGTATAGAAGGGCAAGATATAGAGATTGATCCCGAGATGTTGGAAAACA